AAAAAAAAAAAAAAAAAAAAAAAAAAAAAGGTACTGTTTGACTCTTACAAAAACTTACCTAGCCCCTGCCTCTTAGGTAATAATAGAGACATTACATAAAAGCAGCCTGGAGTGTAAAAAATCTTGTCAGTGCCATTAGAGACTATCTACTGAGAAGTGTGGCCACAGGTGAAATACAAGCCACCAAAGTACGATCCTCACCTTGGAGTCTTGGGAAGCCCTCTGACTGTTGCGAAGGGCAGATAACCAGAGGAGGCCGTAAGTGCATGCAGAAGAGGGGAAACATGAAGTTGCAGCTCCACAGCAGAGACTCCCCAGCCAGTCAAGGGCAGGTTTTAATTCCACTCAGTACTGCTTCTGGTCTCAGATAATCTGGTCAGCTCTACACAGGCGTATATATAGGAAGCATTTGAAACACAATGTTTACAGTCATCACTAGTGCTAACTACTGTCATAATAATCTTTCCTAAAGGTTATTGGCCAAAATTAAGAAAGTCACAATGAGGATAATGGAAGCATTCAAATTCAAGAGCTACCCAGGTGTTAGGATTGACAGGAAATCATGAGGGACTGATTGCCAGTAGAACAGATAAAAACAAAGCAAGAAGTTGACATGAAATGCGGCTTTGGACTTTATTGGCCGAATAGATGGTGGGTGACCCAGGGCCTGAAGTGGAGAAGACAGCAGTGAAATACTTGTGTGAAGCAAACGTAGGTCCCATTGGGGTATGTCAAGTAGATAGTGGAGGTGAATGGGTATGATTAGGAAATAGCTGTGTATATGATCTGGAAATCAGAAATCTGTGGCCCGGGGAAGCGAACAGAAGAAACATGGAAAAGCTGGTCACTGAGCTTGGAACAAAGTGAAAGTGAGGTAACCGGGCATGACGATAAAACAGTCTTTTAGAACCCTAAAAACCACTAACAGCTTAAAGCTGGACAAAGAACCATTAAGCCAAAGAACAGATCAAAACACCTTTTAGTGGAAGATGCACCAAAGTTTGAATCCACCTCAAACATTACTTGTTGAAGTAGGGGAGTTGAGAAGTACTCCCCCACTTACCTGAAATGTGCGGTTTGTATATTAACACAGGACAGGTATCTCACACTTTCGGTGGCTTCATTTCTTGAGCTGTCACTTCATACTCTTCCGATGTGTTTCCTCCTATGAGACATTAGTCAATTTAGTGTGTGGTGTGGCTGTCCAGACCATTCATAAATATCCAGCTCCATTTCCTTTTCCCAGTTCTCACACCAATAATGAGAAATTTTGAAGGGAGAGAGCATCTTTCTTCTGTGTTACATTTGGATCAATGTCAGTAACTTCGTTCTCACAGCCTGCAGGGTTTCCTAGTGATTTCTGTTCAGACTCACTTTCAGCACTGTGAATCTGGAAAGAGCAAGGGAACGGATCAGAGAACGTGACACCTCCCGTCACACCTTGGCTTCAGTGCTTGCCCCTCTGTTGCAGAGTTAGTCACATTTACAGCGTGTTTGTTGATCCCGAGGGGCTCTCCAGTTCTTCATGAACATTTTTGGCAAGATGACATTCTAATCATTTACTTTTATTGTTTTAAGTTCATATACAGAAGGAGTGGGTTTCACTGTCTTATAGGTTCAGGAATAGCTGCACCCTCACCATTCGAACACCACGCTCAGACTGATGGAAGTTTATTGAACACTGAACAAAGACTGACTGGTCAGGGCCATAATCTGGGCTCAGGAGCCAGTCTGTGATGCCAGTCTGTTTTAAGGCAGGTTTTTGTTTGTTTGTTTGTTTGTTTGTTTTCTTTTCTTTTTTTTTAATACGAAAAATCGTAACTAGGTAACAACCAGGTAACCAGATATAGGAAGTGAAAGGGGATCCCTACATCATATTGACCAGCTAAATATAATCGAATGGATTTTGTTCCAAGTATATTGTATCTTTGTAGATAGACAAAGCATTTTAAGCTGATTGGCTAGGATATAGTCTTTGATTCTCCAGCGTTCTGAGAGAAAGGATCTTAGCAGGATGTTGTGGTCTTAATTCTAGTAGAGCATACATTTATCCTTAATTCAAACAGAACATGCATTTATCATTTATTGTTTTATTTTTAAGCAGCAAGTATTGAACTATTGAATTGTATCCTGGTCTCAGGCATGTAGGGCCTGAGAACTTGAGCTTAAGTTCACCTTACAATCAAAATGGAGACTTAAAAACAAAATGGCTTCAGTTATGCTAAAGATGAAAGCAGGTATTAACAGAGGATATTAACAGAGGAGATATAGTTATGCTAAAACTAAAGGAGATCTCAATGGAGGGCCTATAGAGTTTAAGCATATTAAACAGGTTACAAAAACTGTGACATTTTTGTGCATCTGTATGTGTATGTAAGAAAGAAAGTATATTTTATTTTCATTTGTTCCCTTCCCCACAGCCCCTCCCTGTGTCCCCTGCCACCCTTTGGCTGGCTTTCTCCCCACTTCCCTTATTCTGGTATGTTTGATTTGTTTTGTTTTGTTTTCATTGCCTTCTCTTTTTTTAGTTATTTGCCTCTGGCCTTACTAGCGTTCAAAAGTTAAATTCAAGATAAATCTCTCCTACACAGCTGTGGGCAGTCAGATGCTTTATCCAAAAGCCTTATTATATTCTGAAGAAAAACAAAATGGCATCACACTGATATAACTAAGCTGTATTGCATCTTGTATTTCATGTTTTAGGAATGACTGTGTGAAACTTTAAAGTGACCAAATAACCACTGGTGTATATTACCCAGTTCTCTAATTTTTTACACTTTTGTTATCTTTGGGCCATTTTATATATACAAAGATTCTTGTCCACTGAAATGAAAATTTAATATAATAGAATACAATTGATTGCTGCCCTTTGTTAGCCAATATTCTTGATAGTTATTTCCTTGTTTGTTCTTTGGATTTCTTCTCGAATCCATTGTACCTCGTTATAAATTCTCGTTAATGGGGTAACTAATGTCTTATTCCATGTTAAAATCTCTTATTATATATATAAAATGAAGACCCTGCTTGTAAGAATATTCGGTAAGTGCCACTCTCTCTTCAGTTCAGACCGTCAGCTACACAGATCTTTCGATCAAAAATCCTCAGTGCTTTTGCTTCTGAAGTACAATGTGTTAACTTTTTGCCAAGCCACTGCTATTGTTTTTCACAAAGTGGTGTTTCTCAACATTAGCACCATCTCAGGGGACCTTAAAGAATACCAAAGTGCCCTGCACTCAGGCGCTGTGTTTTAATTGGTCTGGGCATGTGGAGTTTTAAAAGAACCCCAGGTTGTACGATGTATTAGTGTGTAGTATGTAACAAGCCATACCTTGTCTTCAGTGCTTGCTCCTCTGTTGCAGAATTAGTCATACTTAGGGTGTTCTTTTTTGTGGTTGGCTAATCCTGAAATACTCTCCAGTTCTTCATAAACATTTTTGGCAAGATGACCTTCTATTTATTTACTTTTATTGTTTTAAGTTAGTATACAAGAGTAGTGGGTTTCACTGTGGCATTTTGTGCCTCTGTATGTGTCTGTAAGAGAGAAATTATTTTTGTTTTTATTTGTTTGTACGTGCCTCCTGAGAAATTCATAAGCCGTTGATAGCTGTGATTGCCTCTATAGAAGGAGCAGTAAATCTTCCTTTCACTGTGTGCCTGTTGGAGCTTATTACATACTATAATATTACTCAAATAAACTGATAATTTTTTTAAAACTGGGTTGGGATTGTCTAAAGTCAGTCCTTAGCATCTGATTGCCATCTGAGATAACTTAATACAAAAATTTCTATCTCTAATGAATTGTAATAGTTAGCAACCAATATATCAGTGTTGTACCTGGAGCTCTCACATATTCTTTAAGATGAAGTTCTGAGCTTTAATTCTCAGAGTCATTCAATTGAACATTTTTCTTAGGATTGTGCTAGTTTTGTTACTGACCCGTTAGGGGCTGGTGTGATTGAAGTGTCAGTGACCTGCTTTGCAGTTTGCAGGAAGCCTCGCGTCCTCCTGCCCTGCTGGGCTGGCTGTGTACCTCCCGAGCCACTTGCAGCTAATGCTCCCGCTTTAAGCAAGTAACTCTCAGGCTTAGGTGCCTATTACAACCTGGGGTGCTTTCAAAACTCCACATGCCCAGACCAATTAAATCACAGGGCCAGAGAGCAGGGCACTTTAGTAATCTTTAAGGTCTCCTGAGATGGTGCTAATGTTGAGAAACACCGCTTTGTGAAAAAGAATGGCAGCGGCTTGGCAAAAGGTTAACATATTGCACCTCAGAAGCAAAAGCGCTGAGAATTTCCGACTGAAAGATCTGCATAGGTGAAGGTCCAAACTGAAGAGAGAGCAGCACTTACCGAATATTCTTACAAGCAGGGTCTTCACTGTATTGCCTAGAATGTGACAAAGTCAAGTACAGAGATTAGTTTAAAAGGCCATGCTGGCCTGGTTACAGTTATCTGAGTTCTGTTTGTTTTTGTAGTTATTCAGCCAAACTCTCACTGAGCAGAAAACCCTGAATTGGGACCAAATGCATAACTTTACTTTGTTCCTCTGCCTTTTGGGGCACAAAGCCAGTTGGCTGATGGGTGACATCCATCTGATATCACTGCTACCATATGGCTGTATTGCTATCAAAAGGTTCTATTTGTCATATACCAGCTAACTGAAAAACACTGTACCATAAGACCAATTAAGAGTCTGTGTCAATCACTGAGAAGTCTTTTAGAGAGAGTTAAAGTTTATAAAGAGACAAGTGTATAAAAAATGTGTTCATTTATTTCACAGTAATAAGATGAGAAAATAGCCTGTTTGATCGTACTTTTTTCCAATCTGAAAGATGTCTTTCAGTGCAGTGTCCTGATTAATGATGTCCTGCTTGCATTTCACATTTTAGAATGTTTTATCATTGCCACAGCCTTTTTTTGACGTGAAAATGTGTATCATGAACTCTGCTGTGGTTGGTATGCTTTCATGTACTCATTATATATCCCCTCCCTTTTGTATAGGAAGACAGAGATGTCAATAACCCCATGCCTAACCGAGGAGGCAATGGACTAGCTCCTGGGGATGACAGATTCAAACCTGTGGTACCATGGCCTCATGTTGAAGGAGTAGAAGTGGACTTAGAGTCTATTAGAAGAAAAAACAAGGCCAAAAATGAACAGGAACGTCATGTTGGCGGCGATTCCCAAAAAGACATAATGCAGAGGCAGTACCTTACATTTAAGCCTCAGACATTCACCTACCATGATCCTGTGCTACGCCCAGGGGTCCTCGGGAACTTTGAACCCAAAGAACCTGAGCCTCACGGAGTGGTCGGAGGCCCTGGAGAGAAAGCCAAGCCATTGGTTTTGGGACCAGAATACAAACAAGCAGTTCAAGCCAGCATTAAGGAGTTTGGATTTAACATGGTGGCAAGTGACATGATCTCACTGGACCGCAGCGTCAATGACTTACGACAAGAAGAGTAAGCACACATCCTCCTTCTTTCTAAACTTGGGGCAGCTACTGTTTTTTATAGATACATAGGTTTAAGGAAGTTGTTAGGAATGGAGAAAGTATTTGTACCTTTGTTTCAGTGAAATACAAGGACCTTTGTTCAGCAAAGTGGTCAGAAGGAGGAGGTCTCAATTTTTATCATCATATTGAACATATGGTATATTAATTTCTGGGGTCCTCTATGTCAGTGCTAGTCAGAACATAGTTCCCAGACTAGCACCAGTCTATAAGTATTTTGTTTCCAATCTAAAATGTATTGATAAGCTGACACCAGAATGAAAATTAACTACACCACTGAATAATTTGTTTATTGATGGGCAGGTTTTTAATGGCCGAGCTTCCTCTGTGTGTTTTCATTCTGGAACGAGAAAGCTCCTCATCTTGGAGAACAGTAGCGAATACTGATGCTGCTAAGGATATCTCATGTCTTGAAATAGGTTTGCTTCCTGTGACTTCTACCCTCCAAACTGAAACAGAAATTGAAACAGTGGAGTATGCAGAAGGGAGGCTCAGAGAAAACTGTGGCCTACACTTTTAAATTATTTTCCCGTGTTATGATTTTTAAGTGGAGGATTTTTCAGCTCTTAGCTTTTGATAGACAGTGATTATTGAGTGAATTCAATGCTTTCTCTTCCAGTTTATTCAATAATTGGTTCCACTACTGTGGGATCTAAGTAGCTTTCAGGAATATGAATGCATGTTTAATTCACTATGACTAGAAAACTCTTAAAAGGGATCCCTGATGTGCCGTTACTGTAATCTTTATTTTAAAAGGTTAACATAGCAGGTGCACACACCACAGTACCCGCCCACAAACATGCATGCACGGACCAGCATTCTTTTATCACTGTGTGGAAAAATGCCCAGGATGGTGCCATTCCTTAGGTTTTGACATTCATATACTTATTGTCTCAACTGAGACGTGATGAATGAAATAGGAAAAAAAAAATATGGAAATGGAGGCAGAGCACCGTGATGGTGAGAGACATCTATTTAATACAGAGAAGAATTAGCATCTCATAGGGCTATGAAGGAAAAATCCTAAACAGTTTGTTCCTACCAGAGACTTAGTCATAAGATTGCCAGATTTAACAACTCAAAATACAATACACTTCATTTCATGACCAGACACGAGATCTTTGATCTGCCTTTTATGGCTTTTTTTTTTTTTTTTTTAGTTACATTTTATTAACTCTGTATCCCAGCTGTATCCCGCTCCCTCATTCCCTCCCAATTCCACCCTCCCTCCCTCATTTCCTCTTTGCCCCTTTCCAAGTCCACTGCTTGAAGAAGACCTCCTCCCCTTTCATCTGACCCTGTTTTGTCAGGTATTTTCAGGACTGGCTGCAAAGTCTTCCTCTGTGGCCTAGCAGGGCTGCTTCTCCCTTGGGAAGTGGGGAGTTCAAAGAGCCCGCCGTTGAGTTCCTGTCAGAAATAGTCCCTGTTCCCCTTACTATGGGAAAACCAATTGGTTACTGAGCTACCACAGGCTACATCCGAGCAGAGGTTCTAGGTTGTATCCATACATGGTCCTTGGTGGAGTGTCAGTCTCAGAAAAGACCCCTGTGCCCAGATATATTTGGTCCTTTTGGAGTTTATATATTTTCCACGTCATACTAACTTCCCTTCTTTCATACGGTTCCCTGCACTCTGCTGAAGGTTTGGTTATGAGTCTTAGTATCTGCTTTGATACACTGCTAGGTAGAGTCTTTCAGAGGCCCTCTGCGGTAGGCTCCTGTCCTGTTACTTATTTTCTCCTATGTCCAATGTCCATTCCATTTGTCTTTCTAAGTGAGGATTGATCATCTTTAGTTGTTAATTCTCCCCCTCCCCCCCCTTGAGACAGGGTTTGTCTGTGTAGCCTTGGCTATTCTGGACTCACTTTGTAGACCAGGCTGGCTTCAAACTCACAGAAATCCGACTGCCTTTGCCTCCCAAAGTGCTGGGATTACAGGTGTGCACCGCTGTGCCAGGCTTGGTTATTCTCAGCAATAGGTTTGCCAGTATTGATCTGTCAGGGATGGTTTCAGTGAATGGCATAGTAAACCAAAGGTCTTCTCCCACAGTCCTGTGGATTAAAACCTCAAGTGTTATTGGCTCATGTGACCCTCACACTTGAATGTACGTAGTTACTAGGTAACTTCCATCTTCTCCATCACTCTTTGAGAGACATTAATTTCTCCGGTACCTGATCTGTCTTCCCTCTATCTTCTGTGTCCCTTCCTGCCCCTCTTCATGCCTTCCATAGGCCAGTTGTTCCCCATATGCTATTCTCTTGCACAACTGCAACCTAGAAATAAGATGTAGTTTCATTTTGTATCATTCCTATTAAGTGTTATCATCAGCCATTAAATAAAACACTGACACTCTACCTTTACATTTGCCCCTGAGCCTTTCCTAGAATTTTTTATTATTGATACTTTCTTCTTTGACAACATATTTTTAAAAACTCAATATAATCACCATCAGAAACATCTTAACTTAATGCAATTTATTTTTAAGACTGGACTTCTTTTAAACTTAAAAAAAAAATCTCCCCAGGTCACAGCTGGGGAGATAGTTCTGTCAGGACCAGAATTCAGATCCCTAACATCAGTGTAAAGCCAGGCAAGTGTGGCAGTATGCAGAGGGCAGAGATAGAGCAAGCTAGCTAGCTATCCAGACTAGAATTGGTGAGCCCTGGCTTTAGCAAGAGAGACATGTTGAATGTACAATTGAAGAACAATTGGAGAAGATACTTAGTGAAACTTCTAGTGTCCACATAGATACATGCTCACACGCAAGTGAATATCACACACAAAACAAAAAGAAAATAATAGGTTTTATTCCTCTTTGAACACTTAAATTTCAATGTAAAGTAACAAATAATTTGATAGATTTATTTATGTTAGGTCAAAAATGTTACAAGCTTTCTATAAATAAAATAAATCAATCCCCTGTTTTCACATATGATCTAGTGTACCTATTAGTACTTTTATGCTTTTACTGACAGCATATTAAAACATGCATGCTGCACACAGCAGCCCCGTGAACCCCTCATAGAATGGGTTTCTTAAGCATATCAGAGCCTGCTGGGTGTGGCTGGTCCGTGCGCTGCAGCCTCACCCATGCCTGTGTTGTTCACATAAGCCAAGCCACCTGCAGAACATAGCAGTCTACTTCAGGTTGTGGGTCCAGCTGTGACAGCTACCACTGTGTTTCACTGTGTTTCTTGTGGCCATTCCAGTCCTCTCTGATGAATGTTCTGTACCCAGGCAGCCGGAGAGAGCCGCCCAGCTGCCAGCATGACTCATGCCTGTAATCACTTTGAATTGCCTTCGCTGGCTGAGTAATTTACTGGTTGTTGATAGCTTATTAAGAGGCTGACAGTATTTTGAGTGACCCGGAGCCTCCATCTTTTTTGGAAGACTTGAGCCAAGAATGACCCTTCTTGCCTTCAATGTTTGTTTTTGGCAATAAAGTATAATTTACTGTAATTCAACAGGTTCTAACTGACATATAACTGGTATATCCAGTTAGTCTGCCAGAGAATCTAACAATGAGAAAATATTGTAGCCTCTGTCCCCAAGAGCTTCACCATTCGCCCCCAGGAAGGAAGAAAAGAATGTTATAAACTAAAAGAGCTGTAGGCAATTTGTGAACAAAGACAAGGTTCAAAATAGTAAGAGCTCACGTGGGGAAGGGGTGGCCAGTAAAGGATTCGAAGAGAGAGGACCCTGGGTAAGAGCCCTGCAGTGGGTGGAATGTTCCTTGGAAGAAGGTACAGTAAAACACAGGAATGAGTGGTCGGGCTTGAGTGAATCAGGAAGCACACGAACAGGTAGCGAGTCCATGATGCCATTTACAGAGCTCATCCTGAGCTTGGTAGTCAGAAAACTGATGAAGAGAACTTTAGGATTGCTAGATCAGTGTCTAGGTGGGTCTGGTATGTAGAAACTGGTTAGGGGCTTCGTGGTAGTAGAATAGTGACTCCGGTAGACATTACAGAACCAGAGACTCTGAAAAAACAAGACTCAATAGGTCTTGGCAGGTGATGAAGTAGAAAGAAGAATTAAAGATAAATCCATGGCTTCCACGCCCCATAACACAAAGGAACGGTGCCAGTTGGACAGAACAAGCCTTTCTGCCTGAAGCTCATATGCCTAAGCTAGTTTACTCCTTGGCTTAAGTGAATTCATGCAGAGCCAGTCAACAAGAGGAACCCATCTCGGGGAAGAAGTGGAAAATTCTATTTGTGGTTGTGATAAATTTTTTTTTTATAAAGTTTGGGATTTTCTTTCCATTACCTTGCAAACACATGAAAAGAATTCTGTCGTTTGTCTGATCAAAAAGGCATACACAGTCAGAGGTATAAAATCCAAGCTGGGATTGTTTCAAATAAATGAATTAAATATTTTGACTTGAGCAAATTCATCTGCTTCTAATATTGAACCTTGCCTCCCACTTATACGCCTTTTGCATCTCAGTTTATAAAGCTATCTTAGTTGCATTTGCAAAGTGTGATAATAGATGTAAAGTGCTTTGAAAACTCTTAAGAACTATGGAAGTGCTAATATGATTGTTAATAATGTCCTAAACCTTATCTGTAGAACATAGAGGTGCTTTAGAAATACTTACAAGTACTTAAAACTATACCCATACCTTCTACAAAAGAATTCTTCTTTTACAGGATTTCAAAATAAATGTTGATTTTTTTTATACTATAATTTTATGTTTAAGGTGACTTGTGACCATGAGATTTTTCTCATTCTCTATCCATATTAAAGGTTCTCTTTGATATCTAGAATACAGTAATCTAATTTTTGAAATGGTTAGTATTTGAAAAATGTCAATTAATTAAAATGTTGTAGCTTTCTTTTGAGTTTTAGAGACAGGATCTCATGTAGCCAGACTCCTGCTTCTTCCTTTGTGCTAGTTGTGGGAGTATACTCCCATGTCCAGGCTTGTGATGTTCTTTTTAATTTCAGT